AAACAATAGCTCTAGAACGACAAAGCTCTTTAGGGTTTGGGGTTTAGGGTTTTGGGTTTCGGGTTTAGGGTTTAGGGTTTTGCTTCCAATAAATAAACCACTAAATTCAACGCTAGCAAGGACGGCTCGTTTGCGACTAAGACATGCCATCAATACTTAGGTTGGAGCTCGCGAACCCCACCCCACCGCAAACCGTCACTGAGATCATACTAACCCGGAACTCTCCTTTTGGAAAAGGTAGATCCGCCACAACTAGAGATCCAAAAGCTTCTTCTTCCCGACCTAGCAAAAAGAAACCTCGCAACTATTCCTTCGATCAGGCGAAGAGATAATCAATCACGGTGGTGGAGGATGGACTCTAGCTCAAGCAAGCCATCAACCATCAAAATAGCAAAGCTCTTTAGGGTTTAGGGTTTGGGGTTTAGGGTTTAGGGTTTAGGGTATAGGGTTTAGGGTTTAGGTTTGAGGGTTTTCCGCCAAAATTTTCCGACAAAAAATTTCTCGTCCGAAAGTTTTTGACAAACATTTCCCGCCAAAATATTTTCCGCCAAAAAAATTTCGACAAAAATTTTCCTGCCAAATTTTGTTTGACAGAAATAGTATGGCAAATTTTGATACAAAAATTGACATATAATTAAAAAAAAAGTAGAAATCAACCATCAGCTCTAGAACAGCAAAGCTCTTTGGGGTTTAGGGTTTGGGGTTAGGACTTAGGGTTTAAGGTTTACGGTTTTCTTTCCAAAAATTCCCGGAAAAAATGTTCCCGCCTAAATTTTCTAACAACCATCAGCTCTAAAACGGCAAAGCTCTTTGGGGTTTAGGGTTTGGGGTTAGGAATTAGGGTTTACGGTTTATGGTTTTCTTTCCAACAATTCCCGGAAAAAATGTTCCCGCCTAAATTTTATAACAACCGCCAAAAATTTTCCACAATTGAAAAATAAAAGAAATCAACCATTATCTCTAGAACGACAAAGCTCTTTAGGCTTTAGGCTTTGGGATTTAGGGTTTAGGGTTTAGGGTTTAGGGTTTAGGGCTTAGGGTTTTGCTTCCAAAAATTAAACCACCAACTAAATCTGACGCTAGCAAGGACGACTTGTTTGGGACTAAGACATGACATCAACTCTTAGGCTGGAGCTAGCGAACCCCACCGCAAACCGTCACTGCGATCAAACCCAACCCGGAACTTTCCTTTTGGGAAAGGTAGATCCGCCACAACCAGAGATCTAATAGCTTCTTCTCCCTGACCTAGCAAAAAGAAGCCTCACAACTAACCCTCTAATCCAACGAATCACACTTACCTTTACTTCCAAAGAAACCTCCCTTCCAATCAAGGCAGTGGGGGTTGGACGCTAGCTCAAGCAAACTATCAACCATCAAAATCCGGTTAAAGATCCCCGTGACTAGCCATCAAGGATCTTGTCGCAGATCAACTGTTAATCAGTTCGCAAAGTGGTGAAACCACCGGTGTGAAGCTCAGCTTCCGCCCACTACAAGAAAACAGGCCTTTAGCGACTGCATTATTGGTCGCTACTTAGTCGCTAAATCATGTTTACGACTATTTTACGACTACTATGCGTAGTCGTAAATCCTTAGTCGCTAAAAAATATAGTCGTAAGATAGTCGCCATTTTACGACTATCTTACGACTGATATATGTAATCGTAAATTTGGTCGTAAGATAGTCGTTCAGTTTTACGACTGAGTTACGACTGACCTACGACTATTTATAACCAGTCGTAACATAGTCGTAAACATTTACGACTGAATTACGACTAGTTTACGATGACATTTTTGTTACTATGACGTTTAGGCGTAGTCGTAACGCAGTCGTAACTATTGTAACGACTATTTGGCGACTACATACTTATAATTTGGCTACCAATTGGCGACTATTAGATGATTAATTTCCGACTACGTAGCGACTATATTTTTCGAAAAAAACTGTGGTGGTTTTGCTATTTGAAATGTTTCCTAGTTTTTGTTTTGCAAAATGAATC